CATAGCTATCTTCAGGTTTCGGCGACCAGCAAGCTTGAGATGGCTCACTCAGTCTAATTTGTGTTTGCACGGTCTCGATAAGACTTCACTTTGATAGGTTAGAGTAAGAATCCGAAACTTAAGGTCAGTAAACTTCTTGTCGCAGTGTTCGAATCTTCTTCTGAACTTGTTAAGAATGCGTGTTCGTATCGCGTCGGGATCACCACTGTCGAGAGCTCTAAGGACAGAACCGTCAATCCCAGACTATGAATATCAGGATAAGACCAGAGTTTTGAAAGAATTAGCAATCAAATGTCAAACGACCTGACAATCCAACACATGCCAAGCGCGTAACGTAGAGTTGTGTTCCTTCCATTCAGTTAAACAACCAGTAAGTTCAAGGAAGCTGAACAGGTAAGGAAAGGCAAGATAGTCTGGCGCCTCGGCTCAAACTGCTTCCTGGAACTCGTCCGTTCGCTTCTATCGGTAAACTTCATGCTCAACAGAAGTGAAGAGACGAGTCCAGGATGTAATCTTGAAGAAGGAAACACGATTGCTGGGACAAGAGCTTTATTAGCCTGACGTTTCGGATTCCTGTTCAAACCCATAATCTGCTTTTTTCTCTGAGGATGGGTTCGAGCAGGAATCCGAAACGTCGGGCTAATAAAGCTCTCGTCCCAGCGATCATGTTTCCTTCTTCAAAACTTCATTCTGTCTGCCTAGAGAACCCTGTAATGTTTACGCTATGTTCCATCGATTTGAGCAGAGACTTTGCACATGATGGGACATGAATCTGGGCATCTAGATCACATACAGCATTTTGGAATTCATTTCCGACAAAAATGGACTTAGGATCTCCCAGGTCCTTCCAGGATTTCTGAATTTTTTCGGATTTCTGACAATGCATTTGAAGATACATACAAAGGTCATGCCTCATATTTTCAATGGTCTATGAAAATTATTTTCAATTGTTTTACATTGTCTTCTCCACTCATGCCACTTTTTTTCATGAACCACTGAGGGTCTATTAGAAACGCTAGAGGACGTAGACCTCATTGAGGACATTTCTTTGGGGAGATTTAATTACCGGATGATTGACCCTCGTTTGTTTGGGTACTTGAGTACAAATTCATCGCAGCAGTAAGTCGGCGCATTTCGCAGTGTTGACTGCCAGCGTTAAGTACCTCATTTACTGACTTTGTAAAAATTTTATTTTGTTAAAGTGACATTTTTTAAAATCATTTTGCGTTTTACGTGAGTAAATTAACTTTCTCTTGCGTAGGTACATTATGTAACGTATCTCATGAGACCTGATGACAGAAACCGAACCGATAATTTTCGGACGTCCACAACGCAATGCCTTTTGCTCGCTCGTCCAGTTTCTTTGAGAAAGTGTTATTTTCATGGGCATTAAATTTGTCACCGGAATTGTATCAAGCAAAACGTTCATAAATTTAAAGGAAAATAGACGTTACAGTATATTTAGACAATTTTTATATTCTAATACTATCTCAGAGTCCAATTGCGCATCTAAACTTGTTATTCTTTAAAAGGAGAGTAATGTTTTCTTGAGGATTTTACGAAACGGAGCCTGCCGCATATAAAAATTGTTTTTGTCTTGTGCAAACCGTAGGAATCAGACCGCGGACCTAAGGGTTATTTTAGGAAATCAAGTCTTTTAACAATTTTTAAACGCCTGTTTAATTTGACGACCTAAAATGCAGTAATAACACACACAGGCTATCGTTCATTTCAATGGACCGAAATTGTTTTGCTCTTAGTCGTTACAGAAAAGACCACAGTCATTCTCAGTTCTGACCGCGTGGAATAATACTTTTCTTTCGGTCTAGATTCTGGAAATGCGTAATTTAGAAACGTAAACACTAACAGTTTCAACAAAATATCCGTATTATATGGCCACTCTGCCGTGTATTCATAAGCGTAGAACGCAGCCTAAGGGTGGACAACCTGTAGCTAAGATGGGCAACATATAAACGGAAAGACATGGCCTTGTGTCTGCACTAGAAATATATCAGTGTTCACTAGGAACGTGAAAGAAATGTCCAAAAGTCGCAAATGTTTTTAGCTTCACCGAATAAAAAGGTAATGTACACAGACGTCCGTCATCGGAGAGCAGTATCAAAGCGCTACTTATAAAGATGACCTACTAGAGAGAATTTTTGTATTGATTGAAAGTACGTTCGTTGCTGACTTTTGCTGTGGAAGTTTATTTTATTTGACGATGATATTTCCTGCTTGGGAAAATTACTAAATGTGACCAGAATGGCCTTACACATGAAACAACACTTTAATACCCGCTTTTTCGGTAAATTCATTCAAGAAGTATCTTGTTTGAAAGGCTTTAACAGACACATAATGCAGAATTCGTCATTATGGGTAATCGATTGGAAACTATGAAAATTTTAACATAATCAGTGATATTTCAAGACTGTTGGAAAACTCAACATAATCAAGAACGAAAGAAAACTGTAGATTTATTTCATAGATGAAAGGTCGTCCTTATAAACACAAAATGCTAAGCTTACGATTCCAGCCGTCAATTTTATTTAAATTTATTAATTACTGACCCGCCTGACAACATGTACCTTTGTGAAAACATCTGTTCCTATGATGTCCTTATCGGCGAAATCAAGCAAAATCCTGTTTGCCTTATTGAACCACATCTTAATGTGGGCTATTGGCAAACCGTCGTACCTAAAATTACAGTAATACTAAAGGGATATTTAAATACAAACTTCACAAATTATTTTCAGAGGTAATTTTATCTTTGCTGTCATAGAGGTACAATTTTTCGCACAAAGCTCTTTTGTTCTACTGGTATAACATATTATTTGAAAGCCTCTATCTAGTTCTAAAAGACTGCATCCATTCTATTCGTATGTCACCTAGTATTTCTTAATTTTAGGCATGCATGCTGGAGTGTCGGGTTTAACGAGGCGTCTTTGACGCTTACTTAATTTGGCATTTGATCAAGGTTTCATAGCTGCCAAAAGTGGCGATGACATTTGCGCCATACCCAAATAGAACCATTTAGTCTTGGCTCGCCAAAGTCAGACACGGCAGGTTCGAAATAAAAGAAACCCGAACGCCCCGGAAGACAAAATAGGTTCATCTGAAGACCGCTTGAATACAATTTTGAAAAAAATTGCCGGAAAACGTAGATAGAGATATCATTGACGGAAAAATTGCATTAACACTACCAGACCCTCCTCGATAAGTTGGAGTCAGTGGGGAAGTTCAAAATCTTAGGGCTTTGGTTTTGTTTGCTTTGTTGGGGGAGTACAAGCCTCTGCGCTTGGATTATACGTCGCAAAGGCCCTCGTAAGCAAAAACAGAAATTCCTTGATCGTGTAGGCAATACTGATAGGAAATTCCACTTTTACGTCAGTATGCAGCAAAGGAAGAAGTGGGTGGACAACGAAGATCGAACATCACCACGACTGAAACAGTATCTCCATCCCGCAGAGCCCATGCTAATTTATGGTTGCATTAGGAGGAAATGGTCCAAAAGTAGACGGGAGTCTCTATGCACAGCCAATCTGAGCCGCAAAAATGAAGCTGTTCGATAAAAACGACCCGACCACCAGGACGAAGTGATTCTGCAACTTGAATGCGTCTGAGTTCACGCTGCTGACTTTGCCGAAATGGTCATCTAGGAGTCCAGCTGGGGATCTCTGCCACATTCCCCCTGCAGTTCCGACATCGCTCGAGCCGCTTTCACGCCAAATGGAAGGCGTTGCATTCGACACCGACGCAAATTGCGAACACTTATTTGTTTTTAAACATTGGGAAAATCGCAACAACTGCCTTGTAGACCAGAAAAATGTCTTTCAAATCGCAGTTGAAAAGTAGCGCAAAGGCATCTTAGACAACCCAATAAAACCACTAACGACACATGCACGCACGCACACACACACACACACACGACAGTTCGACCGTCGATTTCGACGATGTCCACCGTGTGCCCCACAGCTGCAGCAGTCGTGGGAGCAGGGACGGTGACTTGCGCAGGGGTTTATAGTGCCAGTAGACTTGCGCTGCATCTACCTACACTCTTTCCTCCTCTCCCGCCTGGGCCCGGTGTCCAGACAGAGTCAAGAAGACCGGAGACGAGGGAGGTCGCAGGTGAATGGCTCGGACAGATCCTCACCTTGGCGTTCCACCACACCCCCTGGTCCATACAACAATAACCAGGATTTCAACCAACACAACAGAGATTTGGAGGCTGGCACGACCGACGCCGCACCTAGGCGTGCCGCCAACGCCTGGCTCGGATCCCACACTGTGGTGGGAGTGCCATAAAGGCCACATTAAAAAGGAGCCATTACAGCCTGTTTCTCAGACCGCCTCCAGTTAAGGAGGAGGTCCAAGTTACCCCGTCAGTTGGCAACCTTCCAAGCCACGGCCTTTAGCGCACCGTGATAGCTTCAAGCGCGTCAGATTGTTTATAGTGAGGAGAAGTTCGCTGAGTCGTCGAATTCACTCTATCTTCTCATCCCCACACCCCACCCGCTGTCCGAGCCGGTCAGCAGACTGGAGTGGGAAATGGGCGCGGTGGCTGGCATGGTCGACTGACCATGCCTGCGCGCGCCACAGCACGACCTGGCCCCCCATACACACACACACCAGGATTTCGCACAACGGGGGTTGAACGGCATGGCTCTCACTTGCGTGAGAGGGCCGTGGAAAGTGCTGCTTCAGCCCGTCCCTAGCCCACCAGTCCGCCACTCCACACAACACACACAAGACGTGACGAACTGCGTGGACGAGTGGGGGTATCAGTCAGCAACCTTCCTATCCTCGACGCTTGACGTGTCGGTATAGTCTCAGACTCAAATCATTCCTGCAGCCGAGGCCGCATGGGGACCGAGTCGAGATGCACACTTCCCACTTGCGTGGAAGGTGGCAGTTGGGTGCATGCGGTGGGTGAGTGTTGATGTGTGGTGGTGATGTGGAGGAAGGTAGGGAGTGTGTGGATGTGTGGTGTAGTCGGCGGCTGTCTACCGCAGGTCGTCGTGGATGCGCATGTGGCCGAAGAGATCCATGAGATGCGTGAAGGTGAGAGGACAGTGTGGGCAGTGGAGGCGAGTGCAATGTGTGTAGGTTGGTGCTCCAGGCACTGGTTCGCCAGCCTCTGTGCGATTGATTCGCAAGTGACCGACCAGGCCGATGTGCGAGGTGAAGGTGCGGTCGCAGTGAAGGCAGGTATAGTCCTGATCCTCATCACTGGAGTCGAAGGTAGTGGGGGTGGTGTCGGAGGTTGTACCAGGGTTGGTGATGGGCGAGATGGTCGCCTGAGCGGCCGTCGTTGCAGCAAAGGAGGAGGAGGAGGAGGGAGCGGAGGAGGAGACACACGCAAACACAGCGAAACCACAACGAATGTGCCATCTATGCTCACTGTCGTCTCGTGGAGGCTAAAATTATGCCATAGAATCAGTCGGCTCCTTCAGACTCACCGTCTCCTAATTTCCTCAGGGCCGCTTACTACGCGTGAACTGATCTACACTAGTATGCCTGGTCCTTTAGTGTCCACGGCCTTCCCCAGTCGATCTCCATAGATGTCAGATGAGAGTGGTAGGAAGCTTTTGCAAGGGCTTGAACTAGAATCCCATCTTGTGAAGGACATAATATAGTGGGCTTCATTGGCCGGATGACCATCTCTGAGTGGCGACGGGGACGAATCCTGTTAACTCGGCTTGACCACAGAGTAAAATTTCAATGGTAGATGGACGCTCACCGATCATTTCTACGGAACTCACTCATTCCGTTGGGTTGTACAAGCTCTCTCTCGATCCCAATCAGCAGTCTGTAATAACATTCGGCAACATTTCAGTCTCGCGCTTTGCTGCAAGTCTTTGGCCTACTGTGTCACAGGGGGTCGCCGAACGGGTAGCTTGTACTGGTTGGTTGGGCTATGGGTGAAGGCGGGAATAACCGTATGGATATAGTTGCCTTTGTTAGGAAGCTGTAGCCCAGTTCCATGCGTGGATAATATAGGACAGTTTGATGTTCCGCGACTGTTTTCAATTTGCATTTAAAAAAATACCACTATAAATTAAACCTCTTGTTCGCTTTCGCTCGGAATAGAGGTACGGCCGGTCGGAGGCATCAAATCAGACTGAAATAGGCTATTCTGATCTCCCGAACTTTTTAACGAATCTCCAGAAAAAGAAGCCCTTCGGCAGCAAAACATTATCTTCATAAATACGCGCTAAAATAATCAGTCTGCCCTTCATACTCAGGGGTCGCATTTACCTCTTGAGAAAGGTGTTTGCACAGAAAACATGCTGCCGACCAGACGGTACATTCATAAAATTAATCTTCGTGTCGCACAACTACTGCTCACTTTTTATTAATATGAAGAAGTGATTTCCGCTGCGGTTTTTGTGAAGACAGTAAACCATACACAGTCGTCCTCATATGAATCAAACTGGGGACTGAAGAAGATATTTAATTCAGCGTGCGGAGGATACAGGTGAGGTTAAGCAGGAGAAGTATGTGACGTATCTCATAGAAGACTGGTTGAAATTCCGGAATGTTGTTTCGGCATGAAGGGATTACTTTAGTGGGTGTTGCACAGTTGATGATTTAGCAACATAATACCAAACTGTTGAATTTTGATTGGGCGTCCTGGCATCTGGGTGTCCGCGAAAATCAAGCAAAGTGAAAAAGTGACTGCTTATGCAATATGGAATTTTCCCCTTGATATTAAAACGCCTTTCAAACTAAAGCATATTCTATGTAACAAAGGAATGCATTCCTATGCTCATTTTGCAAGGAATTATGTTATCTTCATGTGCGAAATCTGCAAAAAGGTAACCTTGAGTTTTTTCAAGAGGTTTTCCTAATCCCAAACAGTTTTGAACCAAACCCGACTTTGCAGATGTGTTAGGATTTCAAAATAACAGGCCGTAAACTTCCTAGTTAAAGAAAACCACTCATTTGTATGTTATTGAAGAAAGTTTCCTATAGGATTTACCCAGCTTTGCAATGGCTATTTTCCACGGTATAAACATCATGAGGAAGTTCAATAGACGTACAGCCGCAATGCTATCTGAACAAATATCTTATGGTTTTATAAAATTCCATGGCTAAAAACATTCCTGAAACCCAGGGCCTTCATTTCTTCCAGCAGACAATTTAAAAGACAGTAATTTTACTCACGCAGTGCAGTGAATTATGTCTTTATGCATGCTTATCATAGAATATGTCTAAAATTATAGGAGTACTGAAAGTAAATTTTAAAAATCATACTAATTAGGTGGTCTTTTTTGAGATGTGATGTCTGCAGACGGCTGGAAAGAGATGCACTTAAAAGTCCACCGCATGGCGTGACTGAAATATCGTGCGATTATTCTGCACGATGAATAATCCTTCAGACCCGCCTAAGTAATTCTTTTTAGCCAAAGCACAATTTTTAGAATTTTTGTTAATGTTTCCTGAGATACCTCACCCAGTCCCCCAACCTACTATTATCACCATTGCTCGTATCTTCCCGACACAGAACTAAATTACTCTAAACGTCCGATTAGAACACCAACTAAGACTGCACTTATTCTGTTTGGTGTCAACGAAAGGTTGTACTTGTCAGTTCGTAGAACAACCAAATTAAAGGCATCGGAGTTTGATTGTGACGACACAAGAAAGACTGAGTCCACGCAGTCCGCCCAGTGGTGTGTGTTTGTGTGGAGTGGCGGACGGGTAGTCCGAGAGTCAGACTGCAACGGCTCCGTTTTAACGTGACCACGGGCATCCTCACGTATGTGAGGATTGTGTGCTACCAAAAGGAGCGAACAGGCAAGTTCCAAGAAGCAGTTCAGAAAAGGGAGATGCGGTCGCTGGAAAAAGAAGTTTATTGGCCTGACGTTTCGGATTCTCACTGCATACCATCATCAGAGACAGTTGCAGATAAAGACGATGAAGGCACAAGGACTGAAGTATTTATAGTACGTAGTTGCCGTGGGACCACATGGGTGCTATAATTTACAGCCCTTACGATCGTCGTTGGGGGTCGTGATTGAGGCAATGATGGTTCGTCGTTCGGGGTCAGAGTAGTTAACTGCCACACTCTCCATGTGAATGATTCGTCTGTTCAGGGAGTGTCTCAGCAGCGAATATAGTACTGCGAGGTCACTGCATTTACTGATGGATTGCGGGCCTAAGAACCATGATTCGGGCAGCTCGCTGTTCACGCGGTTGTCAGCTCTTGCGAGGATTTCGGCCTCTTGAAACTTGGAAATATGGCCGGGTTCCGTCGAATGTGCCGCCACCTGAGTGCTAACATCTTTCTTCCTTACCGTCGCTGCGTGCTCAGCCATCCGCTTACGGAGTAATCTCTTGGTTTCTCCAACTTAGTTGCTCTGTCCGCCACTGTACCATATCCGGTAAACGATTCCGGAGGTTTCCCGACGTGGCGGCGGGTCTTTCGTCCTCATGACTTGGTGCCTGATGGTTGCTTTCGACCTGTGTGAAACCCCAACTTCAAGTGGAGTGAGAAGGCAACTGACGGCTTCCGAGCCGTTTCTGACGTACGGAAACGCTCACCAAAATTAAGGGTCGGTGGAGTTTCGTTACTGGTCTTGCTTGCGTACGAATTGGTTGACAAAATTGCGCGGGTAGCCATTGGTTCTTAGTACCCGTCGAAGATATTTTAACTCAACAACTTTGTCTTCGGTTGAGACGTATTGCAGGGAAACGAAAGAAAAGGTTACTAAATTACAAGAAAACACATGTGGCCCCACGGCAACTACGTACTATTAATACTGCAGTCTTGGTGCCTCCACTACCTTTATCTTCAACTGTCTCTCATGATGGTATCCAATGATAATTCGAAAAGTTAGACTGATAAACTTCCTGTTCCAGCGATCGCATCCCCTTCTTCTTCTGAAGCATGTGTTACTTAATGGGTAGTGCCTCTTAGTTGCCGACTAACTGGCCACCCGAACCAAGCTAAGTGCAGGCTTCGTCCCACCCTTCTGGTACCTAAGGACTGTATTAGTCTGTTATGCCATGATTCGGCGAATCATGGTCCTCGCAGCCTTCTGTGCGCCGACAGGTCGTGAGAATTGTTTCCCGGGACTTGTGTCATTCTTCTCCATCTGGCCGATTTTCGTGATGGCTAAAATCCTGTTCAAGTGTTTGATGTAGACCAGGGAATGTGGTGGCATGCCTAGGTCCGGACCCGACTGTGCCAGCCAGCTGTGCCCCCAGTCTTCTTGACCATGTTTTGACACCGAGCCGAGGTGAAGGACAGAGTGCGTTAGGTCCTGCGTAAGTCTACTACCACCATAAACCAATGCGCGCGCAGGTCACTGTACTTGTTCTCACCCTACTGTGGAGCACACGGTGTACATTGTCGGCAACGACGGTCGAACTGTCGGATTTGCATACTACTGAATGCCTGTTGACATCTTGTGAATATTTCTAGACCACTTCACCAGCATTGATGGAGTCCAGCTCACATATTCTTCTCGGTTTTCAGGTCGAGCATGAAAGCGTTTATCCGGAGGCATTTTCACCAAATTCGTATATTTACTCCTGTCGAAAGTAAAAAAAAGGAACTCAATATTGAAAAATAAGGCATATAACAGAAAGCACATAGGGCATTCTGGGGGATACCACGGTGATTGGACGAACCCTTCGTAACTGCCTCATGCATCGACATAAATCGACAAAAAATGTGACTTCGTTTCTGGCTAGTACCAGTGCCGTCAGTACCGTGAAGCATTTAAAGTTTAAATGGACTGAATTAATGTACTCTGATAGGTATGATCACATTTAAATCTTTTTCAGTGATCACTTGTCGCATTATCCTGCGATTTACCCAATTTTGACGCTTTGACGTCAGTCTGTGTGTCCGGGGCACTTTAGATCCCGACTGAAATCCTATTGATTTTGGAGGACATTTGGTCAGAAGGGTGCCTATACGCTATTCTAGAATTTTCCACATGGTCGAAAAAACAGGGTTGGCGTCCTGGCTAGGCACACCCACTGGCAAAATTCTGGAGTAAATGGCGAGCTTTGAAAAAAACGGTCTTGTAAATATTGGCCAAGCATATCAAAGCCAAAAAAGCCCCCGTTCATTTGCCAAGAGCTTCAGCTTTTAACTGTGTAATACCGACAGCCACCTTGCCCTGCAATAGCCTGCAAAAGTACAGCTAGCTAGGTTTAACTGGGCATCAAACTGCCACCTAAATTCATGGGAAGGGCAAATAAACTACGCAGTTTGAATCAGGGGACGGGTAAATGTTAAGTCTGTGACAAATCAAGTGTGATCTTGGTAATTAGTAGCTTCTTGTGGATGCCGGAATGCGTGAGAGATGATTTTGGGTCCAAAATTGGTTCTGAAGCCACATTCAGGCCCGATTTCAAAGGAAGATAAAGACATACAGTCAAAATAGGTCCGATGGCCTTATCGAGAGCAAAGTGAGAACAAAGTGTACACCTACCATGTCATATATTGCTGGTGAATTCAGAGACTGCACAATATCAGTTGGCGAAGTGGGAACTGCAATCTCACGCAGATCGGATGCGACAATTCGCTAACGGGACATGAATTTAAAGGATCCCTCTACCGACCGAATAAAAGTTCGAGGTTACTTTCCCGGTCGAATGGAACTGCCGCAGAACTCATTACCTTGATGAAACCAATAAACAAGCGCAGAAAAAATAATAGGAAAGAATGAGGTGTTATTGGTGGTCGCTCATTGGTCCCCCAAAGGACACGATATAGCGACCTCCTGCCCATCGGATGACTGGCTCTCGCACCAACTATGAGGTGGGTAGCACCTAACCGGCGTCATAGTAAACAGACATGCAAATCTGCCAACTGGTCACTTGACCTGCAAGAATAAATCAGTGGCCCAGATTAAGGTATGGGGGTGTTTGAATGGTAAGTGAAAATGGGCTCAAGGGAAAGTCCTAAACTTGGCAGAAATAAAACAGTGAGCTATAATATCACTCACCCGTCTTATTTCGGTCTATTACCTGGAGATATTTTATTTCCTGATCTGTTAATGCATATGTTTAGATAAAAGTTGGCAGCGCCTTTAACTATTGGGTAACGGGAAGCGCTCTCCCCTTCACACCTTCCGGCATAGTCACAAAGCGATGGGCAATATATACGAAAGAAGAATACCGACAGGAGACGGGTATGGCTACTTCCGGCTTATTGGCCATTGTCCGCCAGTCATGCCTTATCGCAGGGTTTGAGCATGTGAGCCTTGAATCCGCGCCCTTGGTTACCTAGCGTTATTAAGTTCACCTCTCGATAGCCAAGGTGTCCGGGCTCTGTAAACGGGTCCTACAAAACGTGGATGTGGGAAGGGCTGACTAACGAAGGTTGATGAGCTAGAAGTGGCCTCCTCTGTCTCTATCAGCAACCCCCTTCTGCTGGGGACTTCTGTTGAGGTTCTACACACAACAGGACGAGCATGTCACGTAACTTGATCTGTGAGCACACACCTATCACATATATGACGCATACATCTGCAGTGACAGAGGATGACAGGTGATGAGGCACTGATGAACTTCGGTTCGATAAAGTGCTTATGACCCATCTGTTGAACCCCAGTAATGGACCAGCAGCACTATGTGTGTCAGTGCGCATGCTTGTTTTGTTGGTCTCAGCTGTTGATCAGGGTTATGATTGGCTGAATGAAGGCAAAATAATCTCGAAACAGTCTACCCGCCTTCTCTGTCGTGCCTCATCGCGTACAACTCGATTTTTCCGAAGAACCTCACCTGTTTTCATTATATCGACTCGGTATGCATAACACCTCTGATCTACTATATATATATGGAAGAGAAAGACGAGGCGATCTATGATGAAGAAATGTTATTCATCTGACGTGGGGTCAGAACTTTTGCCTATATCCATATATATGTATATGCAGAATGACATTACCCTTGTCTTTGTCGATAATGCCATTCTGCCTACATCATGCGCTGCCGTGCAGCTGTTGCTTTAGCTCGAGAGAGAGCCCGTTAGGCACAATGGAAGGAGTGAGTTCCGTAAAAACGATCGGTGAGCGTCCTTCCACCATTATATATAGATATACATGATGGTTCTAGTAGGGTCCACACGGCACAACCGAGGAAGCACGTTCTATTATTTTAAACATGCCATTCTGTCTAAAGAACGAGAAGGGTTCTTCCAAGAAATTACTTCGTGCTTTCGTTTGTTCTGGATGACACTGCGTATTAGGTCGGTCTTAAAATATCGCTAGATGCTTAATCATTTCTAGTATTTTCAGTCGGCCGACTATAAGAACAGATCCTTTATCATGTGTCTGATAAAACCCTTAAACTTAAATTCTTCTTGAAGGCAATTACAGAGGTTTTGGGTGATTAAATGTCCTCTTTTATTTCGAAGATCATTTGAGTCGTATTTGAAGACTCACTCAAATAGGAAACGTCGTCGCTATGCAAAATGAACGTCCACAACAAAAGTCAACGTCGAATATACTTTCGATCAGTTGGACAACTTTCAGTATTAAGCACATTTTTTAAGGAGTGCTTTACTACTGCATTCCGTTCTGCACACTGATATTAACAAAAATTTGAAACGTCTGGCTGCTTCTTGCACGAATCGTGGTGCAATACAATCGAGTTAACACCCACACTAGATCACCTAAATCACAAAGTAGGTAAATCTAAACCGTTTCTGCATATTACTTACTAATTGCCTCATTCAAAAAATCAAAATCTCGGTACATTTCCAACCAGAGACATAAACCTGCCACACATGGCGGAAGAATGAAAACAATCGGCAATAACGGACTTTTTTAGAATAAATCCACACACCCCCCTTCGAAAACTCTATGTTAAAATAAATTTCCCGCAAGATGAGTAGACAACGTTAAAATTACCGACGTCTCTTCCGTGAATTTGGACCGTAAGTATGCAAGCATCGCAAATTAGCAAAAAAACCGCGCACTATTCTTGTGGCCAGTTTACTCAACTGTAAACTGTACAAGTCATCCGCAAAGTAGTCAAAGAGTCACCATCCGGATGGACATAATTTAGCCTAGAAGTGCGCAGCTAGTTTATCCGTCATGAAACAGCTCCTAAACTTTTTAAAACTGCAGTTGGGGTTTTCTAGGAACTTCGGCACATCCTAGATCTGAGCCATGTCCCACCGGAACAGTTCGCTTTGGGGCGAACGAGAAATTGGACACGTTAAAGCAGCCTGCCTGCTGGCAGCCTCCTCACCTCCCGTCCAACCACGCGAGCAAAAACTCGTCCGCAGCTATAGGCGGTGTAACCCTCCTAACCCTTCTTGTCCCCTCCCCCGACATGTGACGCAACGGAGTGGACGGCCGGAGGGGGGGGGGGGAGCGGGAACGCGTTGTTTTTACCCATTTTCTCCACGATTTAGTCCTGCTGTGTCAACAGATGGGCGGACGCGGAGTGCGGACCGCACGGATGGCCGTGTCGGCACTATAAATGCAAGAGTAGGGGAGTTTTTCAAGTGGAAAAGAGGAAACTGGTAACGCAACAATCGCGTGACGACAAGCCAGTCAGAAGGCAGAATGGCTTCTTGAGTTCCAGCTACGGAGAGCTGCATTTTGGATCAGGAGCGACTGGTCGAATCGCAGTCTGTCAGGGTTTGAGACTGACCGGATCTTACGGGTGAATGGCCAGGTTCATTTACTACGCGAGTTTGTATTTGTAGCAAATTTTTAAAAGTAGGTTCTTCTGAAACGACAGCGATCCGCCACCCTGCAAGTCTTCCACACAACCAAAAATCATTTTAGCGTATTTTCGACTGCGGCCCTCTCCTAGTCCTAAATCCTCTGACATCCTTCCTAACGAAATATCCTCTTTCAGGTACCTTGGCGTTGCTTTGTCATTCATTTTCCGTCCATATTGACTCCCTATTTACTAAATTTCGTAAACGTCTTTATTAAATTTGCCGTTCAAGATCCTACCACACACCCCAACCCTTAGTCTGGCGATTCATCGATGCCTGCATTCTTCCTCTTGTCTTATACTGCTCTCCTGTCATTTTTCCTGCTTTGTAAGAAAATATTTTTTAATTTTAAAACGAGTTTTCTGAATACTCTCAGCTACCTCTGGTGTTTCCTATCTTTTTTAATCGATATTTCTCGACAACGACATTTCATTACGGTCAAGAAATTTGCTGGTCGGATTATAGATGACGTTGCCTCGTCCCTTGCATTGTGATCTTATTTCTGTGAAGTCTTACCACCCGATGCTCCGCGGCTTCTGACTTATGTCTGGTCGCACATCGGCTTTTTGAGCGTCCGTATTGCCATTCCTGGCGCGCTGTCTTATGTGTAAAGAGATAGAAATGAAGAAGCTAATACTTGAACTGTCCACATAATAATCCTTCCTTTTGTGTTAAACTTTTGACTTTGGAATAATCTATTAACTTTTTTACTGCGCATAGTAAATGGAGCCAATTTTTACCCTTGCCTACACCATATCCATGATGGCCTTAATGCCAATAAGTCCGCCATCTCCCCGCCCCCTCGGTCTTATTAAAATAACAAAGACATCTGTGAAATGTCGCTTGTCTCCGTCCAGCTCGTCGCAGTTTGCTTAAGATTTATGGGCGACTTCGAAACTAGGAGACGGTTCCGCATTCGAGCAGGATAAAGTTTCGCAGAATATCCGTCCTGACACAGAAAGAGCCGTCCTTCACGCTCTGGGGAAGACTACTTCCACAGTCATTAGCCAGAAAGTCATCGCCCACATTGCAGGTTACTTTCGCGATCGAGATGGCCTTCTAAGAACAAAACAGTTCATCACCCTGGCCATATTTTCACATTTGTCTTTGTTTAAATGCATTACCAAAGTCTGTGTTGCCAGAGGCAACCCGACACGTCTTTCTAGGCGTGCAAATTTCTGAGCTTGTTGATCAAATCGCCAGTTTGAATTTATTTGGTTTGCATAGTAAAGTTCTCACTAGCCCTACATCTAATTTGAAGCGTTTTGTCTCCGGTACGAAGCTGAAGTAGGCAAGCAGGGCAGGTTTTAATGGTGCCAAAAAATTTCGTGACGGCTCGTAAGCTGCGTCCTGTCGCTTCATAACATAGATAACGAGTGAGAAGAATACAACAGATTTGAACTCTTGCAAAAAAGTAATGCAGAATTTGCACGCCTCAAGGAAACTCTGCTTAAGCGAAGATATCCTGCACCTTTCATCTACAAGTATAGTAACTCTACGCGGCCAAAATTGAGAGAACATTCAGTTCCGAAAAAGGCCGTCTTTATATCTTTGCCCTTTAAGGGCGACAATATTTTAAATACTATAAAACGACGGCTGGGTTTGACCGTTGAAAAGACATACAATGTAGCCGAGCTCTTCCGATTCCACAGACGAAGGATGCCTTGCCAAAGCACGTCACTTCAAATTTTGTTTATGAATTCACATGCACTTGCGGATGCAAGTACATTGGGCGAACGCAAAGGCAGTTGGCAGCCAGTTCTATTGAGCACCTGTCCAGATGGCTCCTAAAGCAAGAAAATAAAATCCCCCGTTCCTCCATTACGAAACATCTGCTTGATAGTGGTCACTCCGTCGGCCCCGAAATTTCCTTCCGAGTTCTTGTTCGGGCACGAACAACTCGATCATTGCGTAACCTAGAGACGGCCTACATATGGCGGGTGAAACCAGATTTTGTAAATATTTGGAACAAGTGGTTAGCTTAACATTGCCATGGTAGCCTATAGCTCCACGATTTTCACCTCCCCTCTCTTTTTACTCGTGAACGCCCCCTTTTTATACCATTCTTCCTGTACGGTGTTTGGGTTACTAACTTTGTCGATTAGCCAGTTTTTCCCAAAACTATGACCTTGTTGTTTCTCCATTGATATTCTGCACGAATTCAAATCTGTTGTATTATTACCACTCGTTATCTATGTTATGAATAGACAGGACGCAACTGACGGGCCGTCCCCAAATTTTTTGGTGCCATATACTCCTGTCCTGTTTGTCTACTTCAGCTACATCTAATTCTATCGGATGTGGAGTACAACTTATGGACCTTGCGTTCCATCCTCCACTCCCTCTCGTGCTCTCGCTGTTTATCGTTAAGGATGCAACCAACTCACATCCCACTCAAAGGGCTATCAAAAATACGCACTATAGCGGCAGGAGTGTTCGCAAGACATAAATTTTTAAACATGCCGAAGAAGGCGGGAGCAGCGATGCTTGGACGCTGTGGGGTTGTCAACGAAAGGTAAATAGGTGAGCTAAGTGACACAACCCGTCAACCGTCGTTCGAAACCCTCAGCTGCGTTTCGGGTGGGGAAACAAATTCAGCCGTGGTGATCTAATTATCGTCCATTCAGCATTCTTCCAAACGTCGTTTATCAACCTTGAGAGTAGATCACTTTGTGTATAGAGAACATATTTTCTACTGATAGATTAAGCGAGTGTTTCTGACATGGATTCTGGGGAGGGAACAGGCACATCAAATTTGTATTTAAAAATAGCTCTTAAGGATTCCGCAAATATGAGCAATTTTGAGCCCTTCAGACGATTGACAAAAAGGAACCCGCATTGCTAAAATAGAACTTTCGTTAGTCTATAGTTTTCGAATCAGTGTATAATCTTTCATCAATGAGGATGGTGGGTTGTTTCACCACATCGAGAATTAGCGGGCGTTTAGAGATGTATATACATTCCTGATTGAATATATATAGGCAGAATAGTTTTACCGACAGAGACAAGGGAGGCTCGAACGGTCATTTGTGGCTTAACAGCCGTCGTCAGCCAGTCATACCCAAACCCGAAGTTTGGAACACACGAGGCTCGAACACGCGATCCCTCTTCGCGGGTAGACTGTATGGCTGGTAAGACGTCATTAAGTCTTTGGTGAAGCCTTTCGACTTCGCAGTTCTTTATTATGGCAAAGGTGTCATCAAAGTAGCGAAGCCATAGTTTTGGCATGATAGTTTGGAAAAGCACCCCTTCTAGTCGCTGCAACATTAGTTCGGCGAGCAGTCCTGATATTGGAGAGCCCATCGGCGTTCGCTTTACCTGTTGGTACTATCTAGGATCGAATTAACAATAATTCCTAAGGCACAGATTTAGCAGTTCCTGTAACGTGCTGCGTTGGGATCTCAATAGGATTGTTCTGTAGGCGTTGGGTTACGCATCTGATTTCCAAATCATGTTGTATGGAAGAAAACAAGGCAACGATGTCAAAGGACAGGAAGCATTCATCAGTACTTACTTTGAGACCTTAATCCTGCGGAGGAATGCTTGAGAGTTGTTAATGCTGTAGTCCGATCCATGACTGAGCCGCCTCAGATGACTGTATAACCACTTAGCTATATTGTACGTGGGTGATCCGATGAGTGGCACTATAATCCTCAGAGGGACATCCACTTTGTGCACTTTTGGGAGGCCATACGCGTGTGTGATGTGGGGATCACTGAGGATTTTCAACTTAGCGTCATCTGGACAGATAACGTTCAGACGAGCGAGCTCATTAACCTTCTTCTTGATTGCTGCGGCTTGCCTTTTCGTCGGGTCATCGGCGAGAAGGATATAGGCCCCCATGTCACTGAAGATTTTATTCGCCTTGTTAAGGTATTTAATTTTGTTCATGATGACAGCAGCGCCACCCTTGTCAGCGGGAACAACAACAATACTGTGATCCGACTTTAATGATCGTAATCCTTGCGCTTCTTTGGCCGGTAGATTTTGTTTGTGTCTTTTTTGTCTGAGAATACCGGGGGCGCAGCTTCGAAACTTCACGCACATATCTTCCAGAAGGTTGGAAGCCAGTAGCATGGACTCAAGCCCAGCTAGGAAGTCGGTAGGTGTGGCATCCGTATGATTAAATCCTATTCCCTTGATAGGAGGATGATTACCGCAGGTGAGAGACTCCTCTTCGATAGGTTTGTAACTCTCGTGGTCAAATTACCTTCGTTCGTAGGACGGAGAAGTGATTGGAGTTTCTTCCGGAGATCAAGTCTCTTCTTCAATCTTGCATCCTTGATGGTGGCTTTAATTCGAGAGCTCCCCCCTCACACGTCGGTCGTCTGTCTGCCCTTTTACACCAGTCGATCTACTGGGACAATCTAACATTCTCCCTTGTTTTTCATTTCGTCTGGTGTCACAAGCTCAAAAGTTCACGAGTACAACTGGACTTTTCCGAAGAACCTCATCTATTTTTCATATATATTTGCGGAAATTTTAGCTTCCTTACTAAATATCATGGGGTGCCTGTCTTTCAATATATATATCTCTTTAGGAAGATGGAATTCTTTGGGGAACAGTAAATTTTATTGTGTTAATTTTCGAGACCGGTTCCCCAGCTCGTCTTCAGACAAGGGGCGTGCAAAAACAATTGACTTCTAGACCCAGTCCGACAAGAGGATTCTATGATTAGTTAAGATCATCTTCTCGGGATTGGTTGAGTCAGTTTGAATCTGTCCTTAACGGTTTTGTGTGTGGTATCTAAATCGATATGCCGGTTGATCCATGCCTCGTCTGAGTGAATTGCCTCCAGGAATTCGCGGCCTTTCCTTATTGGGCAGGCGCCAACCATGCGAATGTTTTCCCATGCAAATTTGTGCCCACTGTTCAGTGCATGCATGGTTACCTGGATAGATGGTGGCGCTTCTTTACCGCTAACTGATGTTCATGTATACGGGAAGAGGCAGATTTCCCAGTCTGACCACAATAGACGGCATCACAACTAGAGCATGGGGTTTTGTAGACAATACCTTTCCTTTCGAGGTAGCCAACCCTGCACAACCTTTGTGTGTGCAAGGTAGTTGCCGACTGGTGTGCATTTTTAAAATTGTCTTTCGAGTAGTTTAGATACATTTTTCACGCATGGGGCAGTTCCCCAGGTTGAATTTCATACAAAATAATCCCAAGATATCGCCCTGATGTCAATATGCCGGTTTTTTAGTGCTCCCCTTCCCGTCCGTCTGCAAACATCACATCCCCCAAAAGTAGAAGCAAAATTATTATGATTTCTTGCTGATTGTCGTCGCCCTCATAAATCCAAGCAAATTTCATAGAAGGCAAACATAAAAATATCCCCGTTTGTGCTCATTTTGCAGGAAACCGTGACTTTTTATAACATCTTTACTATTAAGAAAAGAATTTTTCTTTTTAAACATGTATTTTTATGGAGCGTTTAGACCATACAATGTCTCATCAAGTAGTAGCATGTCTGACTATTTACTACTAACCCTTAAAAAGCATATAATTCTGTCCACATTTATTGCGAAATAGCATAAAGGAACACATGGTTTGACTTAGATAGAAAGTCCACGGCTTGTCGTTTGAAACACGAAGCACAAGTCCAAATCCAAGACAGGTTCGGAATTACTCGAGGATTAAAAATATGGCTCAAATTCAGAGAAGACGTTCTTGTTCAAAACATTTGGAAATCAAGGGCATTACTTCAAAAAAACTTAAAAGAAGAGATATTTGTGCACATTTTTCGCAAGGGTAAATTGAAGGACCGCACATAACTGTCGGTGGAATGTGCATCATGTGATACGGAAATGGTGATGAAATTAAAGGAAACACAGCAATTGTCTAGAATCTACTAAAAACCTTATGGTTGATTTACGCATGGCAACGGAAATGAGCGCGTTAATAAAAAAAAACGAACATAAAGCAAATTTTAAAAAAGGAGACACAATCGTTGGGACAAGAACTCTATAATTATGACGTTTCGGATTCCTGCTCGAACCCATCATCTGAGACAAAAGCAGATACGGGTGGTACATGCACAAAGGGCTGCAGTATTTATAGGATGCTGTCGCCATGCTACCGCATACCCATGAATGTTAACGGCTCCCCCATTCATCAGGGGTCGTTGCACATGGTGTGATAACTGTTTGATGGCCGACATTTGCGTCGTTTATGACTGCAATCTTATCACGTGCGTTGGATTTTGGTGTGATGATTGCTCGACCATCTGACGCACTGACCCTGGTGTTGGGAAAAGTGCTCACCTGTGCGCTCCCCACGTGGCTAATTAGTCCGCTTAGGCGAAGTCTCAGCACCGAGTATGGAAGGGTAAGAACATTGCACTTGTTAATGGACAAGGGGCCAGTAAACCATGATTCCAGTAGCTGCCGGCTCCCGCGGTTGTCACCTCTTGCGAGATTTGCGATCTCGTCGAACTTGCATGTGTGTCCGGTTGGGCATTTCGTCCATTTTGCGTATGCACGGTTGACGAAGTTGAGCGGGTAGCCATTATCTTTGAAGACCCGTCTGGGAAATTTAGTTCGACATTCTTCTCTTCCGGCTCAATGCAGTGCGTTTCGACACGCCGATAGAGCGTTCTTACACAACTGCGTTTGTGGCTGATTGGGTGGTTGCTGTTGAAGTTCAGTAGTTGCATCGTATTTGTCACTTTCCTGAACACTTTGGTCTTTAGTCCACAACAAACTTTGCGGCATTCCAGGACATCCAGGAAAGCCAGCTGGTTGTTCTTTTCCTCCTCCATCGTAAATTGAATGTCCGGGAAGACGGCGTTGAGATGTTCTTTGAATGTCAGCACCTGAGCCCGTTCGATGACGACAAAGGAATCATTTACATACCGAGCCCAGAACTGCGGTCTGGGATGTTGGAAGTCCAGCGACTCTAACCGTTGCAGAACCGCCTCAGCGTTGAATCCCGAAATCGGCGAACCCATTGGTGTGCCCTTCACCTGTTCGTAGATTGTCCCGTTGAACGTGAAGTACCTCCTGAGACAGCACTTCAGGAACTGAAGAACTTGGGCGCGTCCAAGACGATTCTCCGTTTCATCATATTTGTTTTGTAGAATAACCTCGAGTATCTCGATCGCCAGGTCATGGGGAATAGAAGTACAAAGGGATGTAACATCAAAAGATACCATGACATCATTTGGATGGGAACTTAACCCTTTGAGTTTCTCCAGGAATTGTGCTGACGAAGAGACCGTGGTATCTGACTCAGCGGTCAGGAATTTGAGACGCCAGAACAGCCACTTAGTCAGTCCGTACTTTGGAGTACCTTTTGAGCGACACGATGGGTCGGAGCGGAGAGCCGCCTTTGTGCACCTTAGGGAAGTCATAGACTCGGGCCAAAGCCGTATCTTGGGGTCTCGCAATGCGTCTGTCGGTCGGTGTAATTGCACCTGAGTTCTCCAAGGCCAACAAACTAATGCAATGTGAGCCGGGAGCAGCCTGAGTCATGGCTTACTGGCCCCTTGTCCATTAACATTTGCAATGTTCTTACCCTTCCATACTCGGTGCTGAGACTTCGCCTAAGCGGACTAATTAGCCACGTGGGGAGCGCACAGGTGAGCACTTTTCCCAACACCAGGGTCAGTGCGTCAGATGGTCGAGCAATCATCACACCAACATACAACGCACGTGAGAAGATTGGAGCCATAAACGACGCAAATTTCTGCCATCAAGCAGTCATTACACCATATGCAACGACCCCTGCTGAATGGGGGAGCCGTGAACATTCATGGGTATGCGGTAGCATGGCGACAGCATCCTATAAATACTGCAGCCCCTTGTGCATGTACCACCCGTATCTGCTTTTGTCTCAGATGATGGGTTCGAGCAGGAATCCGAAACATCCGGCTAATAAAGCTCTTGTCCCAGCGATCTTGTCTCCATATTTAAGACTGCTTTCTGGGACTCGTCTCTTTATTTCTATTGATAAAGCAAATTTTAGAAACATAACGGAGTTTAATTAATGGTTTGAGTTTGTGGTAGGTGACTGTTGCCGACATTGTAGTGTCTTCAATTAGGACGTGAAGATAAAATCTTTTATAACACGATTCAACAGTCTACCAACAGTTAAATGGGGTCCTCCACCATACCCTTGCTCGTGTTTCTTATAAAATAAATTCGAATTCGTAGAGATATCGGAGACGAATGGGAAATGTTTTTTGCTTAAGTGGCCATTTTTCGCGGATTTGACTTTTACAGCCAGCATCAAAGACAAGCATTTGTAATTCCGCATTTTGATGTGGCCAACAGTCCTGTAACTATGTCGCCTGTTCATCAATCTTACGACGCCACCTTAGTACTTAATTTTAATCAAAATCATATTTCTAAATGTCGATAAATGTTTTATGATTTATGTTACCTGTTATGCTTACAGCAATTTTCCACTAACCCTAAGAGGTCCTTTACTCCGCCTCAAAGTGGTGTATTGACGTTCCTTTTAGTAACAGTATAGACTTCTGAAATACTATTAAAATTGTGGAGAATTAGTGAAAACGTGTAATCGGAGCAAGCTCTTATCGGCTCTGCCTGGCAGTAGATCACGAAAGGGATTACGCAAAAGACAGATTTTGGCCTCCAATAGCTTTATCGACATTAAAGTTGCCGGTTTTCGGCTCAAGGTTGGGGTTAAATGTGGTTTGTCGGGTTAGTCTTGGGAATAGGGTTTCCAGGATTGGAGCATGACTCGAATTTAGGATGCAGGATAGGGTTAGGATTTTAGGCCTTGGGTTTTGACTACGGTTACGCCCGATGCTTCCTTAAATGCTTACAGGTTGGAAATTTTCCACTGAAGGCTTGACCACAATTGGCGTTAGGTTTGTAGCTAACTATGATCAACCCAAGGGGGTTATATACCACTCTCTTGTCCGCCCCTCGAAAGGGTATGTCTATGTGAGAACTACCGCGAGAAGAAATTTCAAGCTGAACAGTACTGTGACCTCATTAAAGCAATCTTATCGACCTGAAAGAACATTTAAAGATCTCCTGCGCTCATAAAGACGCATTCATCACTGTCATTTAGTTTCCTCAACGTGCTTAAAAAGCGCTTTCCTGCGTTTTTTACTTGCATCAAAAAACGGAACCTTATGGATTGAGATCTCTAAAACACATTTGATCTCAAAATTCAAGCAATTCAACCTGCTAGTGCAGGGAATGACTCCTCATCCATACAGGTTTCCTTCGTAGTGTCCTCGGACACCTGCTGCAAGCATGATTCGTCCGCAGAAAACTGATTTCCCTGGTTCCTGGGTGTTGGTGTTCCCCTCCATTGCGGAAGGGACTCGGAAATCACTTACATTGGGAAATTATTTAAGCGATTTTCAGTTCAAATTTTATGATTCCGAGGGCGTCGACGACTTACTGGGCTCAGGAATTTATCGTTGCCATGACAAGTATTGCGATGTGACTTCTGAACCTGTATAAGTTGTATGAGATGCAGTGCGGCCACACAAATGCGGTCTTACGCCTCTCCAACCCTTTTAAGTAGACTTTAACCCCGACTTTTCAAGTCGGCAGTCAGAAGCTGAGAGTATTTAAACAAAATACTAATAATTTTTGGTAATTTACTCGCCTAAGTGGGCTAGTAAAGCTGAAAGCCAGACTACACTCTCACAGAACAATTTTTTAATTTTTTCCCAACGTATGATCGTGCGCAAAGTGGACTTCTGATTATGTCTAACCCCAGTCAGGATTGCCACCTCGATCTATTAAAAATGTTTTAGCATGTTGGAAAGACGTCGGTCAGTGCTTCATGCCTGTGTGCATAACCCACTGGCGGTGATGAGAGCTGGCTCTGACTAAACGGACGCTTCAGGACAGTCGAGCGGCAGTTGAGTGTTCAACGATCATAAACTTGCACCACACAGCCTGTCAGGTCCTGTCAATTCAGCGCCTTCGCTCGGCGTCACGTTTCAATAAATGGGGCACGGGGTCAGATTTCATCACTGAGGTCATGCCTGTCGTCTTGTCCGGCTTGCTGAGGCTCAGACCGGTCAGATTTATGATAAATATTCACTCATAAACTGGAAAATTATGCCTCCTCGCTGGGCCAGCATATGGAGGGTACTGGGGATTGATGCATGCATACTTCCAGCATATATATATTCATAAACTGTTTCACGGGATTAATTTTCGTGATTTAGAAACAAAGACTGCAACAGTGTTCTCACTGGAGACTTTATTTATGAGTAGGGAGTTTTGGCTTTTTATGTTTTCGACAAGACAAAGGTTTTCTGTGTGTTTAGACTGTCCTAATGTTTGCTTGTTGCTGATAGCCTTTGGTTTGCTTCAGACTTGCGTCATAAAGTCCCCTGATGTGGGCATAATTTCTCATTCGATAAATGAGTTGCGTAGTTTCCTGACTTTTTTAGATGGACGTTTCATTTTTATCAGTTGAATGGAGGAATCACAGTTCTACGTTGTTTGCGCGAGTTTTGACAAGTAACCTACACCCCAGGATTTAGACGTTAAATCTTTCCGGCGACGTTACAGTACCAAGCCCTGGTTTTTGGCTGGGTGGTAATAGAGGTTTTGAATTTTTTTCGGAACGCACACACCGCCGTGCGGAATTTCGTGGCCTTGGGATGAGTTGTAATCGAAATATCTCCGCGAGATCTGGTAACGGGATGGTCGAGGATCGAAATTGACTTCTCCTGATTAGTGTCTGCAACCCGCTATCTGTCATAATTTTTCGTCTTGCTACAATGCGGTTTACAAAAGAATTATTTATTTTCATTACTCTGTCTGCCTTCTCTCTCGCTCTCTCTGGGTCCACGCTGCCTACTTTGGAAGATCATCTGATAAAAAGAAAAGGTCATAAGAATTCGCAAGTGTTTTATCGACGCATCGGCCTGACAGATCGATTTTTACGCCCCCCCTCAGGCGGATGCTTTCAAACGTACAGAGCCCGCGTTATCACAGCTGGCGATGTGATAAAACCGCAGTCAAAATGGACCACCCAGGTATTAAAGTGACTTTGACTGCAGTCCGCGGGCACATTAGGTTGTTCGCACTGCAGTTTAAGTCCGTCAATCAACCCCCTCCCCTTATTGACGACCCTGTTCTGAGAGAATATGGTATTGTAAGTCTAAGTCAGGAATAATTGACTTAGAGGACAGACTTACGACTTCAGGTTTTGGCTTAGAATAGAAGAGGGGCATTGCGGCCGGGATCGACAGGCCTTATCTGAAATGCCAGGGTTGCTTCGTCTGCAACTTTTCCGCGACTCACCATGTAGAGTTCCTCCGGTTGCCTTCAAGATTGTAAAATAAGCTCTCTGTTGGGAATTCCAACAGATCGTTGAAACAATCTGCAGAAAGGCATTTCTCATAGCCAAGTTTTTTTCTTAAGAAAGGATGAAAATATTAAGAAATACACAAAGGTTTAGATGGAAAGTGTTTTGCGATGACCTGCTCCCACGGTCAGGTGCATCACGTAGCATTCCAAGGAGGTTTTTTATCTTTCGGAAATTACTGACAAATATTTTGCCCGACTTCAAAGTCTTTTATTAAAATTACAAAGATAAGAGGATTTAACTGGGCGTGATTAGCCATTTTGGATTTCAAAACTCAAACGGGATGATTTACTGCGGATGATTCAATAAAACTATCACCCTATCGCCCTTCTCAGTAAAATCCTCAAAAAAGTATTTGGTGAGCACTGAAAAGGTATGAGGTTTACAGTATAATACATGGAAAGTGGCAAAATGTTGAGTTATTTTCTTTCATGCTTCAAAAACGATTATTTTTGGCTTTAAATAATGGCCAAACGGCAAATGGGCTTGATGCAATTTCTGGGCAGTACCGCGCCGGCTTTCGACTGCAAAACTTCCTGCCAATCGCAAGTTGAAGCAATCAAATGGCTAAGCAGTGCATCCCTCATTGAGTGCTTTTCGCTGATTGGATGCTCTTAATAAATCCCATATTCCTGACGATCTTTGCAGAAGGAGTACTTCTTATCCGCGGTTTCGGATCCTTTTCGCATGCGCAAATAGAATCAGTCAGGGAAATCCCTAATTTTGGACATTTTTGAAAGACTTCCATAATATGTAAACGTTCGTCTGCATTTATACACACACATACATATATAAAAGGAGAAGGCTCGCCGGAAAAACTATACTCATGAATTTTCAAGTCGGTTACGCCAACTCGTCGTCAGCCGAAATGAAGTGTAAGGGGATAATCACACTAGGGAGCTGAGGGACATCGAGGTTTCATCTACCTCTTCATATGGGATGAAAATTAAAGTGATCGCTAGTGCCAACACCATACAGGTGCGAGAGTTTCTAGAAGGTTGACGCTCTAATAACAATAGCATCAACCGCCATGTCGACTTGAACTCTCACTAAGAAGGTTTACGTTCACGGTTCGCTGGCTTGCGCCCACCCTGAGACACCAGCTGTTAATCCGTGTTCGACCACGTAGAATATCACGGAATCAGCACCTCCCCCAGAGAGTGAATCATGTGTGAAACGCTCAACACCTCCCCTAACGTCCGTCACCTATCCAAACACGTTCTTCACTCCCCCACACATAGACTTCTGTTTCGTCGATGTAACCTCGATGTTCCCCAGTTCCCTACGGCGATTATCTCCCTCACACATTTTATTTCGTATGACGGCGGGTTGGTGCAACCGACTTGAAAATTCACGAGTTTACCTCGATTTTCCGACGAGCCTTCTCCTTTTATTATATCGTCTCGGAATGCATACTACCTCCTTTATTCATATACAGGCAGAATGGTATTGCCGACAAAGACAAGGGAGACTGGAATGGCCATTTCCGGCTTATTAGCTGTCGTCAGCCAGTCATAGCCAAATTCTAAATGTAGAACACCTGCGGCTCGAACTCCCCACCTGTTTGTTAGAAGTCCACGCCTTTAACCACTGGGCCACGAGTACGTTGCCCTGTCGGTTTTCGATCGGGAATATACAATGGTAGGGAGCGCCCAACGATAGTTCTTATGGGACTCACGCGTTCCGTTGTGCCTTACGGTCTCTCTCACGAGCCCACTCAGCAGCCGCACAGTGGCGCATCATATAGGCGGATTATTATTGCCGAATATATATAAATGGAAGTGCTCAAGTACTTACGCACACCTTGTATATCGCATAAGTGCCAATTCATGCAAATATGAAACAGCCCATTTCTGCACCTGTTTACTGACCGACTCGGACAGTGACAGGGGCCTGGGAAGCTACCACAGTGCGCTTAAAGCCGTAGCTTGGACGGTTTTCAACTAAAAGAGCTAACTTGCACATCGCAGTCGACCCAGTGTTGTAGGTACATGTGGCCAACTGGTGGTCAGGCTCCAATGTCTCCCTTCTAATGGAGCTTATATGGCACTGCCACTCTGTAGAATGCGAGCCATGTGTGGCGGCACGCCTAGTTGCGGCTTCGGCCGTGCGAAACCCCCTATGTTTGTTGTGATTAAAGTCCTGGTCATCTGTTTAGTGTACTAGGGGCTGTGAAGTGGAGCGCCAAGGTGTGGTCATGTAGAGTATTAAATGGCGCGCCGCAGTTAGACCCTTATGGTGCAAACCACTGTAGAAATAGGAATTAGAAAAAATACATAACCCTTACCTCTCCTGACAACAAGTCTCATAGCTCGTTAACGCAGCAACTCCACCACCATTCGAGCGTTATTGTGATATGTTGTCATAACCCATGCGTTAAGTGTACATGCGGACCCATCTCCTAAAGAAGTTGTATTATACTAACACACGCATTTCTCTTGATAAAGAGAAAGTGATATGCTTACCATTGCATGTGCTATTTCTATTCACATTTCTTCGTCCCGAGGCTGAACTGCGGATACGGGCGGACTGTATGTACTATCAAAAAATTAAGTTAGCACATCTGATACAAATTTACGCTCTTTTCTCGAGAAAATTATTATCTCTAATGTACTTCAGACAGTTCTTTCAAGTTTCAACACAAGTGAAGATCATTCATCATTAGGTGGGATTAATTTACGCGCATCTCGGGATTTACGTCGCCGACAGTGTGTATACGTAGGCGGATGGCTAGCGCCCATGCACCGTACAGTATTTTCTTTTATTTGAGGGTATTCATTGCATAAAGGAGTTACAATTTAGTTCAAAGCATGAAACATACAGAAGCACAGAAATTTTTCGGCCAGTAAATGGTAAATCAGGCCGAGAGACATGAAACATCCCAAATGGCTGGTTAGTTTTTCAACAAATGGAACTACATCCTGACGCTCAGTCATTTTGTATAACGCAGTCCACAAGACTGGAACCACAGACAGACTAAATTAGACACAAGGCTTCGGCGGACATACTGCGTAGACGGAAACTTCAGTAGTTAAAAGTGTGGTCTTTCCACAGCCCCCTATTTCCCTTGTTCTAGATGGAGACGTAAGCTCGTCAAGGAAATTATGGACATCGTCTTGTCTATCTCCTCCGTAGATAAGAATCTAGACTCGCAATTCCAGCGTACCAATCGCTCAGGCTAAAAATAGTCTCAACTTACGTCTCAGAACGGAAGAAATGTCAATTTTTTGAGCGCAGCTGGCAGGTTCGATTGCGTCATTTTGGGCTTGAGACTTCGTTTCAGCCAGACAGGCAAACTATTCCGGTGACGTCTGAGCCCATTAGAAGTCACGCATATGGCAAATTTGGAAACGGGACGTTAATCGTAATCTATGCATTACTCGACGTCACTACGCAGAAAAACCGCTTTTTACTATTCTGAAAGTAATAATACCATGGGCTTCCAAAAGGAATAACGAGGTCCTTTCTAATGTAAGTGAGGGAATTGGGTCCATAACACCTTCCTTGTGGGGACAGTTCATTCCTTCGATGCATGTGTGTGTGTTTCCATCCCCAAGACGGGCCGTGGTGTGGTGGCAGTTTCAGATGCAGGTGTATGTCGTGCCAAATATGAACCGAGGCGTCCCTTTCTTTCTTGGTGTAGAATCCCGGTCTATGCCCTATGTGGTCTAGGGGATGTGGAGTGTAACGCTGAGGTGCGGACTCGACCGTGCCATCCACCTGCGCCCTTCCCCCGCCTCCGGTCTTCTTGGCTCTGTCTTGACACCGAGTCCAGGTGGGGAGAGGGGAAGAGGGAGTGCGGTAGATGCTACCCAAGTCTACATTCACTGCAAACTAATGTACTCACAAGTCATCGTGCCTGCCACGCTTTTCGAGGGAACACACGGCGGACATTGTAGGACATGACGGTCGAACTGTCGGTGAGCAATAATAAGTGCAGAACGGAGCCTAAAATGAAAAAACTTATGCAAGGAGGGCCTAATATAAAAGGAAAGTGAGTTCTTTCGTTAACAACAGAACAATTATCCCCATTTTTCAGAGAAATAAAAAAGCTGATCAAACGCATTTATTTTTGCTATGACTTTACTGTAGGAAAAGATAAATTATGCAGATATCCGTCAGTGAACTAGCTTAGTATGGTACCATTTATAGGAGTAACGTATTAGAGGGGTTTTCTAATTCATCTAGAACGCATTCTTTGCCGACGTTCGTTGCGGATGTCCTTTTTTGGCCGATAAGGTTCCGACCTTTGGGCAGCTCTTCAGACTTGATCCAAACAGCCACCTCTATTAGAAAGAATGTCCAAACGCTCGTTGCCTTGGTAAATACTTTCAAAAGAATCTTTCTTTGAAAGTTTTGACAAACAGATAGCACAAAATCCACTCTCACTCGCAGTCCACTCGCAACAATGCAAATTCTAAAATATTCACCGATGCTTCAAGGACGATCTGAAACTCAATGTCGCCACAGTATAAAAAGAACCAGGGAGTGGTGGTTGTGCGTCTGGGTATGGGTTTGCGGCATGCCAGTCAACTGCGTCCTCCGCCGTCCCCGGGCCCTTTTGACTGAGTGCGATAGATGCTGTGCAAGTCCACTCTCATTGTAAGCAAACTCTCGCGCAAGTCACCGTCCCTCCGCCCTGCCGTGGAGCGCATCGTGGACATCATCAGAAGGGACGGCTGAACTGTCGTAGCCGTGAAACACCGCCCTATATGTGAAAACTTGACATGCTGATCGGGGGCCATATCGTGCGTCTCATCCTCAAACCGACCAGCGATCCCGATATCGAATGACTGGTCGGCTCGGAGAGTGTGCTGGTGCCTGGGAGAGCGGAGAGTGGGAGATTGGGGTCAATCCTGCGGAGGCCCTCCCCACGGCACTCAGCGCATGCTCCTCTCTATAAATAACCTGTAACGACGGTCGAACCATCGTCAAGTTTGAAAACCTAACAATATAAAAAGCCCTCATAATTTGGGAGGGTGTCGAAGGTACGGCAGAAGCGGGGTCTACAGTCTCGCCTCGGCTATGGGTTGTGGTCCTCCTCGCAAGGCGACAGGAGGCTGCGTAGATCTTATTGACTGTATGTTGTTACCGACAAAGACAAGGGAGACTGGAATGGCCATTTCTGGCTTATCAGCCGTCGTCAGCCAGTCAGCCAGAGTGTATAAGACTACTTTGAGCGCCGTTAGGATTTCGGTTATGCCACACACTCGGTCCTTCTCAGGCTGCAATGGCTTCCTCTGATCAGTAACATGAAGACGGTAGTCATGCACCAAACGCCAGCCGACGCTGCCTACGTCGCACCCCAAATAAACGTGAAGGACGACCAACTATTAGTGTTAGACAAGAGAGAGAAAAAAAGGAATTCGTTTTGTTTTGAAATCATGAATCCGAAATTCTCGGCAAAACTTTACGTATCTGGGCAGCACCCTCTTCCGCAGCACAAAAATCAATGATGAAGTGGCCGTAAGGTTTCTATGGCCAGCCAAGCCTTCGATCGTCCTCAAAACACAGTTTGGAATAGTCACGATCTTCAACGCAGCACGAAATGGAAGATTTATAAGGCCGTCATCCTACCGACACTACTGCATGGAGCAGAAATATGGACGGTGGGCATGAAGCCGGCACGCAGACTCAACCACTTTCAACTCAGTTGTCTTCGTTGAATACTGAAGCTGAGGTGGTAGGACCGGATCCCAGATACGGATGTGCTGTAGTGTACGGAAATATTCAGTATCTGCGCTATGCTGAGACAACTACAAATACGCTGGAGCGGCCACCTCGTATGGATGGACGACGAGAAGTTACCTAAACTACTTTTTTATGGAGATATCGCGACGCGTTCACGCCGACAAGGTCAAGTCCGGCGCTACGAGGGTACTTTGGAGACCCCCCTTAAGCGCCTGTAGATCAACCCGACAAACTGGGACGACCTCGCCTGGGCCAGATCTACGCGGAGAACAGGGAGAACAGGTGCAGCAATCTTCGGAGTCAACCGCATCACCGCAGCCAAAGCCAAACCCGCGAGACAGGCAAATCTCAACTGCAGCCGCCACCGCCGCCGCTGCCGCCCCCAACGTGTCCACGATGTCAACGGACATTCCGGGCGCCCATTGGAGTTGTTATACACCTTCGGATCAACTGCAGCACTCGGATTGCACCAACCGTCGTCTCTCCGTCCACTTCGAACGTTGATCGCCCTCCCGAACCACCACTACCATCCTGCTCC